CGGCGTCCTGCTGGCCTGGCCAGCCCCGAGCACAGGTGGGGAGCCGGAACCGAGACGGGAGAGGGGTCGGGAGAGGGGACCAGGAGGGGGACGACCAGGGTGCGGGGGACAGGGACGAGGGCTGGGCTGGACGGAGACCCGGACGGGTTGGGGTGGGGAGGTGGGTGGGACCGGAGACCAGGATGAGGGGGCGGGGCAGCCGCCGGGGCTGCGCACTTCTGGTGTAGGAGACCTGCCGCCCCAGAACCACACTGGCCAGCTGGGGCCAAGGCTCCGCGGTGGGACCTCTGCTGGGGTGCTCATCGTGTGCCGCGCGCCTTTCTTCCTCCCCTCTTCCTGATGCCCTCATGCCCTCCCTGGAGGTGCCTAGTCTGAGGTCAAAAGTCTTTTTGGGTATAAATCTAACAAGGACATACGTCTTGTTCTACTACTTAATAAATCTAAATTACTTCTCTACTCATGTGGAATTTATGTAACTATTAATTAAACGTGGTGGATGTTCAAGGAAAATTTACCAATCTAGGGGACTATAGCCCAGTTTCCCCCCAATGCGTGCTCGTGGTTAGCTTGGATTTAAGACAGTGACTCTTGCATGAGTTGTCCTGAAGACCACTCTGTTCCGTCTCAGTTTCCGCCTGGTTGGTGGTGGGTGTCAGGGCCAAGATCTATCTTTCCTGAGAATACAGGTCTGCGTTCTGCAGAAATCTGAGCTCGCTGCAGGAAAGTGTCCGGGACTTCATGGGATTTTATAGGCCTAGGGGACACTTTGGAGAGTGAACTTGGGGGCCAGGGTGACCCTGTCCTGGGCCCACAGGGATGGCGCCCTGTATGGAGAGGTTGGCTGGCAGTGTGGGAAGGGACAGTGTCCCAGGGGTGGGGAGCACAGGCCAGGCTCCTCTCAGAGGTGGTGCTTGCTTTGGCATGTTGTTGCATTTTAAAAAATATATTTTTAACCTCTTTGGATCATACAAAAGCCTGTTTTACAGTAACTTTGCTGCCGAGAAGAGGAGGTGTTTCCTTCAGCCATGAACTCCTCATTCCCCCTGCGTTTCCTGGAGCTCCACCTGAACGCCACCGAGGGCAACTTCTCAGGAGTGGAGGGTGGGAACAAGTCCTCGCCGCCGTGTGAAGACATGGGCATCGCTGTGGAGGTGTTCCTGACCCTGGGCCTCGTCAGCCTCTTGGAGAACGTCTTGGTGGTTGGAGCCATCGTGAAGAACAAGAACCTGCACTCCCCCATGTACTTCTTTGTGTGCAGCTTGGCGGTGGCCGACATGCTGGTGAGCATGTCCAACTCCTGGGAGACGATCACCATCTACCTGATCAACAACAAGCACCTGGTGATCGCAGACACCTCCTTGCGCCACATTGACAACATGTTTGACTCCATGATCTGCATCTCTGTGGTGGCCTCCATGTGTAGCTTGCTGGCCATCGCAGTGGACAGGTACGTCACCATCTTCTACGCCTTGCGCTACCACCACATCATGACGGCGAAGCGTGCCGGGGCGGTCATTGCGGCCATCTGGAGCTTCTGCACAGGCTGCGGCATCGTTTTTATCTTGTATTATGAGTCCACCTACGTTGTCATCTGCCTCATTTCCATGTTCTTCACCATGCTGTTCCTCATGGTGTCCCTGTACATGCACATGTTCCTCCTGGCCCGGGCTCATGCCAGGCGGATTGCAGCCGCACCTGGATACAGCTCTGTGAGGCAGAGGGCCAGCATGCGGGGAGCTGTCACCCTCACCATGCTGCTCGGGGTGTTCATTGTGTGCTGGGCACCCTTCTTCCTCCATCTCATCCTGATGCTCTCATGCCCCAAGAACATCTACTGCTCCTGCTTCATGTCTTACTTCAACATGTACCTCATCCTCATCATGTGCAACTCCGTGATTGACCCTCTGATCTATGCCTTCCGCAGCCAGGAGATGAGGAAGACCTTCAAGGAGATCATTTGCTGCCACGGCTTCAGGATAGGCTGTTGGCTCCCTAGCAGGTATTAGACACAGCCTTCTCCTTGCTGTGGCTCTCATTTCTCCCATGAACGTCTACTAGGTTTGGCCAGGGATCAGAAAGATCACTAAGAACCCAAACTGTGCATCCCTTTGTCTTGTTTTCAGATCAAACCTGTGTTTCAGACGAGCACCCGTTCTTCTGTGGCCATTATTGCATCAGAGGTGCTTGTGTTGTCACCCGCTTTGGGGATGAGTGGTGAGAGTTCATCACTGTCTTTTTGCACCCTGTTGCTTCTCTGGCCCCTGCTGTTTCTGGAGTCCCATCCATCCTCCGGCTAGGAAGAGTGTCCTCGGGAATACAGGATGCTCCAAATGTGGGTCTGAGCATGGTGTGGAACAGGTTGCGACTGGAAGCACAGCTGAATGTCCACCTCAAGTAGGATTGCTTTTTTGCCCCAAAGCAGGTGTGTACTTGGCTTGGGAATGCAGCGTGCGTTTCAGGAGGGACACACTGTTAGATCTTCTCCATTTGGAATTCCTATTCGTTGGTCATGGGTGTCTCTAGAGCCATACTTTCCTGAACTTACAGCTTTATGGTTTATAATTACAACTCTCTGAGGATGAAATTTCCTTTATTATACTCCTGTCAATCATGGTTTTATACTTACTCAGACATAAAACTTTATGCTACAAAACTTGCCTCATGTGTTGCGGAAATTTCTGCGTCTCTTACTTCCTGCCTTTTCCAGCTTAATTCAGGGCTCCTCAGAGAGCATTGGGGCACATAGCGTGGGCCCACAGCCGGGCTGTGTTTGTCTTGGTGTCTGTGCCACTGTGTTCTCTGTAGCATGTCAGTCTGACCTCGAACTCAGGGTCAGGGTCCCGCTCTGGCCCAGGAGCCCCACCTTCTCCAATCTAGATGGAGGGAGAGAACTTTGACTCTGTGGCCATAGGCACCACATTCCAGGGCCCACCTCTGTGCTGACCTTCCAGAACTGTACGAGGAAATGGTAGAACTTCTTCCATCTTTCTGAAGTACCGCAAAGGTTTTCTCTTTATGTTGAAGAAATGACCTAGGTGGGACAAAAGGTAAGTGAGGAGGCAGGGGCCAGGGATCAGGGCCATGGCCGGGACATGAGCAGGCCTGGAATGCCGTCAGGGTGCCACGCTGTCATGCTCCCTTCTGTGAATAACTCTTGGTGTTGGCTTTCACTCTGTTTAGACACTCACATCTAGAGTGCTCCCAGTGAAGCAAAGTTTAAGTAAAGCAGTAAACCATTAGGGTCACGTGGCAGTGAACTGTCGAGGTAAAGAGGGATCCTTGTTCCAGGGCCAGGAGCTTCCTGGGTACAGCCACATACACAGCTCACAGGCAGACCCTGGCCATAGGGGTACAGATGCTATGGTGCTGCTGTCTGGAGGAAAGCGCCCAGACACCCGAGTCTTAGGGCACATTAGCAAGCTGCTGGCACCTAAGTCTGAAGGGACAGTTAGCCTTTCAGGTGCTTCCTGTTCCTTCAGGCGATGGGTGTGAGCATGCATGGAAAGAAGTGGCCCCAACGCAGTCAGTGAGATTGCACTCTGGATGCCCATGATGTCTCTCAGGATTCCGGCTCTGTAACCCTGCTGTGCATCAGGGTTCTTGTTGCTGACCATCTGTGCTGAGTCTTCTCACTGGCAGCCCAGAGGACCAAGTGGGGTCAGCAGAGTTCTTAGACCACCAGTCGACAAGGTTGCTTTCCCGGCTTCCTGGGGCGCTGCCTGCTGTCAGGGTGGTTCTCTGCTCTAGTTGCTTCCTGACTTGTTGCAAGGTCTTACCTTCATGAAGTCTTTGAGGAAGTGCTCCAGTGCCTTTGAATCTGTGTCACCACTTGTTTAAATGTGTCCCTGGTGGCAGTAACTTGGCAAACATCTGTCAGTGAGCCAACTCTCGGCACCCAGCACAAAGCCCTGCCCCCAACACATGGCTGTCAAATATATATGCTATGTTTCTACTTCTGTAGCAAATTTATTTTGTGTAATTCTATCTATTCAAAGAAATGGTCAATAAACTAGAAGGCAGCATCGATTAAAATATATAAATAAAATTTCATATTAAAAATAAACTGGAAGAACTAGCTTGTCCATTTAAACTAGTCTTTCAGGTGTGTGATATTCAGGGTTTGCGCTTTCTGACAATCTGTCAGCCGCTACTACAAAATGAGAAGGTCCACCCACTGCCGAATCTTGATGAAATTTACTTCCATTTTACCAAGTTCCTACCAACTGAGGACAAATGTGTCACCAACAGAATGGGCACAATGTCATTCTTACTACAAATAAAACTGCACATTGGCCTTACATGCTGTCCAAAAGTTTACTTTGGTAAACAGCTGTCTAGGGTTCCTATGTATAACGCATGGAGGTAGAATCAGGTGCCTTTAGAGAATCTCTGCTGTCTAAGAACATATGGACAAACTATTCCAAGACACAGATTTTCAGGATGTGTGCAGACATGTCCCCAGCTCAAGGTCCTGCCTGTGACCACGGTAGAGCAATGGACCCAGGTTTGTGCTCTAACATGAAGGCTGACACCACAGATTCTGGAAAGACACACTCTTACACCTGAGTGGCATTCCACTGGAGGGCTGGGGTGTTCATCTGAGATTTGGGGTGCAGGGGTAGCTGGAAAGTGCCCAGGTAGTCTACCCGTGGAAGCCAATATAGAGGACGGTTATCCAGTTCTTCCCCCAAGCCGGCAAGCTCAGTGGACTAGGGGCCATGCAGGCACTCCTTTCCAGGAGAGGGAAAGCTGGGGACACGCACCATGGCCAGCAGTGACCACACTGGACTGTGTGTGCCTTTCTTCTGCCCCAGGACTTCTGTGCTTGTCTCCTCCTGCCTCAGCCTCCCAGAGTTCTGGGATTACAAGCAGTGCCACTATGCCTAATTCCCGTCTCTCACCCTAATTACTGACCCCTGAATCTGCCAGGCTTTGAGGGATTGTGCCTTTACTTTCCCCAAGTTGGCCGTATAACCTCTTATCAAGGTGGGCAGGAAATCTACCCCGGCCACACACCTGACACTGAAGAGCTGTTGTGGGCAGAAGTGCCAGCCTGAAGTCGGGACTGTGGCCAACGGGGTTGGGAACCACCAAGAGGGCAATGCGTGGACCCATGTGGAGGTCGCCTCCTTCAGTGCCTGAGGTTGTGGGGCAAGAGTCAGAACTGTAGGGTGTTGGGGTGGGTCCCCATGGGGAATCGCTGCTCAGAGAGAAGAACTATTAGAATAATAAGGTGAAGGAAGACTGATTTGTGAGTTTATTGCATGCGTTCTTGAGGGATGGACTGGATTTGAATGGGAGCAGAAGGGGACACAGACTAGGAGGACACTGAGTTGTGAAGGGTGTTTATTATGGGTCAGACAGCCAGATTCACTCAAAGGTTGGTGGGGTGAGAGAAAGAGGGGAAATCACTGAAAAACACTGGAAATTGCAAAGGTGACATTATGTGGGCCTTGAATGTAAAGGAGAACCTGTTTTCTAGGAATTAGGCAGTAACTGAAAGCTTTTGTGTGTCATGCTTCCTCTCTGTCAAAATACATGGCAGGATCTATTAAAAGCTGTGCTTATGCACTGGTTTTATAGAAAATTTGCACTGACATCAGTGAGACAGGCAGGAGGCTGACAGAGTCCAGGAGGATGAGGGGTGACAGGCTGGAGGGGGTGGGAAGTCCTTTTGTGGGGAGACCCCTCTGATGGATCTCCTTAACAGCCACAGAGCACATGGGGGACTCCCAGCTTGGCTTGCCAGTTATTACTGCTATCTTTTGACCTTATGTAGGCTCCTCTTCCAGTTTCAGCAGGATTAGGTTCAGAATCTTGGGCCCCTACGCTGAGTTCAAGCTTTTTTTTTCTCACTGAAGTTTATTGGTACATTTTAGGTGTACAGTACAGTTACATTCATTATTGGGATCATTGCACCTTTACATGACAGGTCTGGTTTCTCATTTTTTCCCTTGTCCCTGCCCTCCCTTTACCTCCTCCTCCCTTCCCTATTTACAAATACTTTATTTCCATTTTTTCATTTTCTCATATTTTTTTTCTTTTCCCTTATTACCTTTCCCTTACCCTTCCCACTTCCCCTACACCTTTAGCCCTTTTCTTCCTTTCACAGTGTCAATGATACCATTAGGATCTTATGTACAATTATAGTTTTTCACACCAGAGAAACTATTTGGTATTTATACATGTGTGACGTATTTAGTTCACTTAAGAGTATATCCTCAATATGCATCCATTTTCCTATGAATGACTCTAGTTTCTCATTCTTTATGGCTAAATAGTATTCCATTTTATAGAAAACCACATCTTCTTTATCCAGTCTCCAACTGATGGGCAAATGGGCTGTTTCCAAGTTTTAGCTATTACAAACAGTGCTGCTGTAAACATAGATGTGCATATATCACTGTGATATGATTCTTTCAATTCTTTGGGAAAGATACCCAGCAGAGGATGGCTGGGTCAAATGGAACCTCTAGTCCCAGCTCTCTGAGGTATCTCCATATTGATTTGCACAGTGGTTGCACCAGTCTGCACTCCCACCAATGGAGAAGGGTTCCTTGAGTTCAAGCTCTTGTTCCTTCCTGATACCTTTAGATCTCTCCCATCCTTTCACTGGCACATCCCTTCTTTCTTTGGCATCACCGTGCTTACCTAGAGGGCAAATGAGCTTCAAGCTCTTTAGTGCTGGTTTTGGAGAAGAGATGTAACTACGCGTCTTCCTCACACTCATCCTTCCCTGTGGGCACGAGCTGTGGGCCGAGCATGGCACGGACAGGGTGGGGGCACACGGAGGCCCTGACTCATGAGCGGCCCTCCGCTGACGCTGTGATGCTCCCTTCAGATCAGCCCAGGACAGGCCAGGGCCACGTGACCGGAAATGGAGGGGTGATGGAAGCAGGACCAGGTCCTGCACAGACCCACACTGCTAAGGTAGTTCCCTACTGTATTCTATTCTATTCTCCACTAAATCGCCGGCCTGCTTTTCCTTCCTGCCATGGACCAAGTCCATAACAGCCTGTCCTCTGCCCTGTTTCTCCATTGAGTCACCACTCACCTCTACTGTTTATTCTCTGCCTCTCCTCTTGCCCCATTGTAAACTATTATCTGTGTCTTGTAACATTTTTGCTTAGTGTCCATAACGCTGCATCTTCTGATTTCTTGGGGACAATGTTTTGACCTTTGCTGGATCTTCCTTCTACTCCCACACTTTACACTCACCTTGAAACTGTTGCTTTAGAGTCGTTCCTTTCATTTTTATAATTTTCCTACCACTGATCTTATCAAATTCCATTATTTTGATTTCA